CTAAGGGATGCAAGTTATAAAACAGGTAAAATCAATTTAATCATCTCAGCTTAAAATGTACTTTAGAAAAATGTATAGTCCTCAGTTATTCATGAATTCCACCTTTGAAAGTTACTCACCAAAATTTATTTGTGAGGCTAGAAGAATGTCTCAGTGGTTAAGAGCACTGGCTGCTCTTCCAGAGGACCTGGGTTCAATTCCCAGCACCCACATGGAGACTCACACCATCCATAACTCTAGTTCCAGGGGATATGATGCCCTCTTCTGGCCTCCAAGGGCACCAGGTACACCTGTGGTGCACAGACATACATGTAGGCAAAACACTCATAACACATAAAATAAACAAATAAAATGTATTTGCAATCTGTGTTAGTGTTCCATAACTATGATAAATCCCTGACATAATCAACTTGTCATTTGGGGGTTTCAGTCCTTTTACTGATGGAACACAGGGTGGAGAAAACTATCCACCTTATGGCTGGAAGTGAAAGAGGAAGTGAAAAGCTTGGGGTCCCACAATCCGCATCAACAGCAAGCCTTCAATCACCTGCAGCTTTCTTCAGGCGACCTTTGCCCAGGACCACCTCTTAAAGATTCCATAGCATCCCAGAAATACCAATCTGAGCACCAGACATATAACTCACAGCATTTCAGATCTACACTAAACAACTCTAAAATCTCTGGGGTCATTTAGGGCCATATACAGAATAGCACATTATTTTTGAGTTACCTAACACTATATTCCTAGCTCAAGTGAAAGATAATGCTCTGCTTTCTTTTAGGCTAATGCCATGCTTTTACCACTTGTGTGGGTTTTGTTGATAGCAGAGTGCTGAAGGGTTGTCTGTAATGTGCCTGATGGAGAGTATAAGGATTGCTGCAAGCTTCTGTCAGGAATTTATCATATAGTTCTCTTAGCCATGAGTTCATCAACCATATATGCTTATGGTGTCTTTACAGAGAAACACAATAAAACAAGGTTATATTTTGATTAGTTGAAAAAAAATTACAAGGCCAGTGCTGTGGGATGGTCTGTATGTCAAATGCTCTGATTGGTCAATAAATAAAACACTGATTGGCCAGTGGCCAGGCAGGAAGTATAGGCGGGACTAACAGAGAGGAGAATTGAGAGAACAGGAAGGTGGAGGGAGTCACTGCCAGCCGCCGCCATGACAAGCAGCATGTGAAGATGCTGGTAAGCCACAAGCCACGTGGAAAGGTATAGATTTATAGAAATGGATTAATTTAAGCTGTAAGAACAGTTAGCAAGAAGCCTGCCACGGCCATACAGTTTGCAAGCAATACAAGTCTCTGTGTTTACTTGGTCGGGTCTGAGCGGCTATGGGACTGGCGGGTGACAGAGATTTGTCCTGACTGTGGGCCAGGCAGGAAAACTCTAGCTACAGGCCAGTCTTCCAGAAACCTAGACCTCAGGGTCCTGGTTCAACACAACATTCGCTGACTCAGCACTTGTGATGCCTTTAGGATGCATTTACCACAACTAGCAGGAATGAAGATGAGGCCATAAGCCATACTTCACTGTTGGTAATTTCTTTATTATATTTTATTGTTTGTCTTGTTTCAAGAATATAAAAAAGAAACTAAGATTAACCTCCAATGTAAGATATACATACATATGTCTTGTTTCTTCAACATTGGTTACATCAACTTTTCTAAGTCTCTGGAAATTTAACTAGCTGACAACAAAATGAGATGCCACAGCCCATGAATCTCCTGAATCCTCCACCTGCCTTTGTTTGGCACAGAGTTTATAAGAAGGCAATTTGGTGATAAGTACTGGCTAATGGACATCTCAAGGCTCCTATGGAATATTCCAGTTCTGTTAACATCTAACCTGAGATTCAGGTTATATGAATGAGCAGATGGCTATATATGTCCTGTAGGCTATTGAACAGCAGATTTTGGTCTATTTCCAGTCTATACTTTCTTTTTTGGTTAGAATCCTTAAAATGATCCTAGAGGAGGAGGAGGAATCTGTGTCTTTATTCAAAGACTTCCCCTGGTTCCCACCTGATCTAAGCATTGATATCAGCACCAGGCTGTTCTCATTAAGGCTCCAGTGTGTTGCCGTTCTCTCTGTGTGGCACAGGAGAAAAGGTACAGACCTGGGATTAATTTCCAGCTACACCTTCTCAAAACCATAAACCCACTGGCTCATTACTTACTGCTCAGGTCCCTTCTGTACTTAACTGCATGTCCAGTGGTCACAGCGGGACATCGCTGTGGCAGGGTCTGGCACAGCTGTGGCACAGCATTCTGCCCCAGGGGTTACAAACTCCAGGGGTGGACTGAGCCTCATTCTTGTGGTAGCTGCTTAGTGTCTGCCTTGTCATTGGGGACTAATGATTTGCTTTATTTTAAGACAGAGTTTTGCTGTGTAGCTCAGGCTGTTCTTGAATTCCTGATCCTCCTGCCTCAGTCTCCTGTGTGGAGATTAGAGGAGAATATCGCCACACCCATTTGGGGACAAGGATTTCTTTTTTTTTTTTTGAAGTTGAGAATCCTGAAGATCACATATCAGTGCCCAGAACACTGATAAACAAAGCAATTTTCTGCTTTCACTTTAAGAATTTCAGGTGGCCCCTGGACAGACAGCAGTCTGTTTCCAAAGGTACACAGCCTTTTAGGTAGAGCTAGGACATGAGGCCTTGACTAGGTGGGTGTAGAGAACTGAAGAGTCAAGGGCTGCCCCCAGAGAACAAATCCCTCATTCAAACAGATGAATGATGCACCATGTCCAGATCAGAAAGCTGTGCTTCTGTCATATTTAGAAAGTTAGAAATGTTTAGGATTTCATTAGAAAGTCCAACGTCCACACAGGGAGATAACATGAAGAAAAAGAAGAGGCCTTCAGTGTCTCCAAGAAAGGGAAGGTGTTTTTGTTTGTTTGTTTTGTTTTGATTTGTTTATTAGTGTAGTCCAAGTTCTCAGGAGGGTGGTGTGTATTCAGAGTATTGTGGTGATATTGTGTCCCCCAATATATTGTGCACCCTAATAAGCTTATCTGGGGTCAGAGGACAGAACAGCCACTAGACAGACATAGAGGCCAGAAAATGGTGGCACACACGCCCTTAATCCTATCACTTGGCAGGCAGGGATCTGTCTGGATCTCTGTAAGTTCAAGGCCACACTAGAAAACAGAGCCAGGTGTGATAGCACATACCTTAATTCCAACACTAGTTAACTATGGACAGGAAGTGACAGAGCTGGGCAGGAAGAGGAAGTGATGTAGCTGGACAGAAAGCAAATCAGATGGCAGAACAGCAAGGCATACAGGCGTGGGTAGACACGAAGTAGCTCGCCTTTGGAAGCTGTGGAGTTGGCAAGGTGAGGTTAGCTATGGCTTTCTCTATTTCCCTGATCTCTCAGGTTTTCACCCCTATATCTGGCTCCATGTTTTTTATTAATAAGACCATTTAGCACGTCATCTACAGAGTATCATTAGAATATTATTAATAAATAGATCAGCAATGTTTTGGCAAGCATGTTGTATATACGGTCTAGCATGGTATTGACTATACAATGAATATGTTCTTGGCTGGTAAACATAGATTTGTGCTCTAGCTTGTTAAAAATGTCCCAGAATCTCATCCTACATAGGCCCACTTTACAAGGTAAGTTTTAATATGCCATTCTTTCTCTTTAAAATTATCCATTTATTTCTCCCTTGCAACACGGGGTGCCATGACTTGAGTGGATGAGGAGGAGAAATGAAATTAGATATTTTTAAGGGGGAGCTAAACTTTTGGTTTAAAATTGGTTTGAATACATCGAATGGAAGGAAAAGGAAAGAAATTTGAAGGCTGGAAGAAGTTGGAAGACAAGGAGGCATAAGGTGTATTTGACAATGTTTTTATATACCACATTTCTCCCTTGTATACACTATTTCTATGTGAGGAAAGAATACCTGAATTCCTCCTGCTCTGTAACAGGAATGGGGCTCAGCAAAGCTAATGACCATTATGTCCTGTTGAGGTAGCGCCAGGTCTGGCATCATAAGTAAATACAGTCTCGGGCGCAGAGAGTAAGCCTGCCATGTTTTGAGAATTTGAATAGGGTAGTTTAGCTAGAATTAAGAGGTTGTAGAGAAACGTCTTAGGAAATTTGGCTTGAGAAATAAATGAGAGTTGGATGTAGTGGCACATACCTGTCACCCAGCACTTAGGAGATAGAGGTAAGAAAATCAAAGAGTTCAAGGCCACCTGAGCTATATGAGACCTAGTCTAAATAAATAAGAGATAGATTACAGAGTGCCTTAACCAGTACAAATAAAAAAAAATGGGTTTATCTGTGTCAGTAATGTTGAATAAAATCCTTTCTAGAATCTTACAAGAGGTCAATATGCACAATAACTTAAAGGAAGCAATCTTCTGCCCCCAGCTCCTGGGCAGAATGATGAGGACCAGACAGCAGCCGGCTGTGAGAAAGACTGATGCCTTTCCAAGTGTTTTAGGCACCGACAATTATATATCCTATGCTGTCAGAGGAGAAAACCCAGCATCATTCCAGTTTTCTTCCCTTTTACAAACAGATGAAAGAGGGAAAGAAAATGTTCTTTTAAAGAGCTGCTGCCCCTTGTTCTGGTCAGAAGCAATTGAAAGTACGTAAGAATTCACGGGAAGTCTAGTCTTCAAGGACAGGTCTTTGGTGCCCCAAACTAGTGAGGAAACAATCTTTTCCATTTCACATCACATTTAGTGGGAAGAAACTCACAGACATTTAGACTTTTAAATCCTTTCCCCACTAGTGGAGGTCAGTATAATTAAGTGCTGTACTTTGAGCATTTGTATTACAATTGTTTTTTAAACAAAAGACTTTACTTGTGCTTTACTAAAAACCAAGACAGTGAATCTTGAATAGCAGACGTGCCACCCACGGCAGGCATTCTGTTATGTGTGGTTTTGACTGAGGACCCTCTCCTCCTCCTGTGTGGCTCCTGTGACTGGTGATGCAAATGCGCCCGCCCTTTTCTGGGAACCCAGAAAGCCTGAGTCAGGCGGGCTGTGGCTATTAAAGCGCTGGGTCGGGCGGGGGAGCAGGCACTTCGAGGATGAGGCTTCCAGGCTGGTTCTGGCTGAGCTCTGCGGTCCTCGCTGCCTGCAGAGCTGGGCAGGTGCACAACCTGACCGAGGGGCTGGAGGATGCGAGCGCCCAGGCCGCCTGCCCTGCGAGGCTGGAGGGCAGCGGGAAGTGCGAGGGGAGCCAGTGCCCCTTCCAGCTCACCCTGCCCACGCTGACCCTCCAGCTTCCGCGGCAGTTCAGCAGCATAGAGGAGGTGCTCAAAGAAGTACGGACCCTCAAGGAAGCCGTGGACAGTCTGAGGAAATCCTGTCAGGACTGCAAGTTGCAGGCTGACGACCATCGAGACCCGGGCGGGATGGCCACCGACAGCCGAGTCCAGGAACTGGAGAGTCAGGTGAACAAGCTGTCCTCGGAGCTCAAGAATGCAGAGGACGGGATCCAGGGGCTGCAGCGGCGCCTGGAGACGCTCCATCTTGTAAATATGAACAACATCGAGACCTACGTTGACGACAAAGTGGCAAATCTAACGTTTGTGGTCAACAGTTTGGACGGCAAATGTTCCAAGTGTCCCAGCCAAGAGTACATCCAGCCACAGCCGGGTAGGTGTAATGAGGTTCTTACCATTTGTTCGTGAATGCTGTATAGAGAGATAGTGGCTGTAAACATTAACCCGAGGGAGTAAGTTAATGAGCCTTTCATCTATTGGTTACAGCAGGAGAAACAAGTATTTTCTCAAGTGAGAAGTGGTAAAGGATCTAATTACGAAAATCCTATTAGTTGTATCCACTAGAAACACTTTCAGTCAGTCTCTAGACCTATACAGGAGCAGAAGCAGATTCCTCCCGAGCTAGTGCGTTTAGCCTGTCTCAGTGTCTCAAGATAGATATTACAAAGATCCTGGCTGTGCTTACTTAGGTCACGGAAATCAGGTGTTGGGTGGCTGCGGGCCACTTCTCAGAGCAGCAGGTGGTTTTGAAAGGCTTTCGCAAACAATCTGCTGTGCTCTCAAATACCTAGTGAGAATGGGAGATTTTATACATAGAATAAAAGCAGCTTCATGTGTATGCCAAACTTTTTGGTTTGAGACTTAGCCTCACCATCCCAATAATACTATTTTTAAAGACCACAGACTGACGGCCTACTGTGCCCATGGCATTGTCGACTGGGATTCCTGAATTCCCAGGACCTTTGCTGATGGTGTTGCCACACCCTAGCAGGCCACTTCTATGTTAGGATCTGTGCTCATCCTGACTGTGAGGTTAATGGGACATAGTAGAGATCACTTTCATTTGGAATCTCCTGGAGGTCATGGTGTCAAGGACCACTGTCACCAATGACCCTGGTAGCCTGGATGGAATTCACCCTGCATATCACCAGGTAGATGCTGATGTTTTAAGTGACATCACAAGGTGTATATTAGATATGGCACTGCACAGTGATTTGTAATGATACAAAAAAAGATTCTATTACTTACTTTTCTCCTAAAAGTTTTAGAAAATGAAATATTATGAGTTCGAAATACACATAGATTTTTGTGCCTCACAAGTATCTTACATTAAACTTACTTTACTTGACTCGAATTTTTATAAAAATTGACTGGGAATGAATAGTTAGTCTCTGATCTCCACAAAACCCTGTTGACTGATTATACTGCTCATAATCATCCTGATGCTTCATCTAGAAATCAAACTGTGAAGCATTGGTTGACTATGCCTTCCTGAATAATAAATTCAGAATAATATTGGTATATTATTGGGGAAAGCATTTTTTTTCACTTGAACCTCTTTATATAGTTGTTAGGTAAAATGAAAGTGAGTTTCTGAGCAATGTTGTGGCAGGAAGGCTGACCCTTCATTTGGAACATATCCTAGAACACTTTCTGATTCTGTCTAGAATGCAGTCCCAGGAGACAGACTCATCTCAGCTTTAGGACTGTGGAAAGCAGTGGTTATGAGAACAAGTTCTCTGTCAGGCAGATTTGACTTTATGTCCTTGCTCTTCACACTTGTTTGAAGTGGGAAAAATCTTGGATCTTCTCTGAGACTAGTGACCATGTAAGCAAGCTGGCAGTAACACCTGCCGCACAAGGCTGATGTGCGGATTCCACCCCAGACGTCCCAGTGCTTGGCCGAGCTTCTGGGGGTAGTTGGTCATCACTAAACCTTGGTATAGTTAGTTGTTCTACTACTGTTTGTTGTCAGCATTGTCACCATTACTACCAACCATGACAGTCCTGTTAACCAGGTCCTGGTGAGCGTATCAGAGCCAAGTTCCATTATCACCGTTAACTAACTTATCAAATTGTTTCTGAGTCTAAGAATTCTTCAGATGCATAACTTTTATTAACAGAATTCCATGCTTTTCTCTCTTCCCTCTTTCAGTTCAACATCTAATATACAAAGATTGCTCTGACTACTATGCAATAGGAAAGAGAGGCAGTGAGACCTACAGAGTCACACCTGATCCCAGACACAGCAGCTTTGAGGTGTACTGTGACATGGAGACCATGGGCGGAGGCTGGACGGTCCTGCAGGCTCGCCTTGATGGAAGTACCAACTTCACCAGAGAATGGAAAGACTACAAAGTGGGCTTTGGAAACCTTGACCGAGAATTTTGGCTGGGTAATGATAAAATTCATCTGCTGACCAAGAGTAAGGAAATGATTTTGAGAATAGATCTTGAAGACTTTAATGGTGTCACACTGTATGCCTTGTATGATCAATTTTACGTGGCTAATGAATTTCTCAAATACCGATTACATATCGGTAACTACAATGGCACAGCGGGAGATGCCTTGCGCTTCAGTAAACATTACAACCATGATCTGAAATTTTTCACCACCCCAGACAGAGACAATGACAGATATCCTTCTGGGAACTGTGGGCTCTACTACAGTTCAGGCTGGTGGTTTGATGCATGTCTCTCTGCAAACTTAAATGGCAAATATTATCACCAGAAATACAAAGGTGTCCGCAATGGGATTTTCTGGGGCACCTGGCCAGGTATAAGCCAAGCACAGCCTGGTGGCTACAAGTCCTCCTTTAAGCAGGCCAAGATGATGATTAGACCCAAGAATTTCAAGCCGTAAATTGCTAGTGTTCATCTTTCCAGGCACTCACTATCTAAAAGCAATGAATTCCTTCTGACCTTTATCATATGCGTGTTTATATTCCTTTCCTATGGCTGAAACACTTCCTTTTAAACTTCACAGCTTTTAAAATAAAGCTAAAAATATCTAAAAAGACTACTTTGTTCCTGTTATACAAGGAATGCTTGAAAGCTCTGGAAATATTGACAATTATACATTATATTTTCAAACCCTTTAATTTTTATTAGTTGAAAAGGTTTCCTACTATAATTATTATTTTTTACAATTAAAAAACTAAATTATTCAGCAAGCTAAATTCTATATAAGCAACTTTTATTTTTACTAGGGCTAAACATGCATGTTTGAAAATTTATCAGTCTTTTCAGGCCAAAGTTATTCCTGTATCTGTAACCAAGAACTGTAGTATTTTGTTTGAGCCAAGAAGACCTTAAAGCATTTTATTTCTCAAAAAAGAA